TACAGAACCTGCTATTCCCAAGCGGTCACCTATCTAATTACTGACCATGTTCAGCATTGCTTAACTTTGGTTATCGTACAAGAACTGGTGCTTCAATGTGATATGGCTGTAAGCCTGGACTTGCAAAGTCTGTTGTTCTGAAAAAACTATTTTAACATAAAGATTTAATTAATTTCAAATGACAATAATGCTAAATGTTTCTGGTAAAAGTTCAGGTTTGGTTTAAAATGTCAGTTATTCCTTTAGGCAAGTAAAATTAAATATATTTATATTTATTGCAATGTGTACAAATATGGCACAAGACGAATAATGGGGAAAGGGATGGTTTTCATCTGTCTTATACTAAAAATTAGCTAGCCACAACCACTAACCAAGACATGCTACAATAACCCTTGCACCAAAATGCCATATTCTTACTACAACCACCATAATACCTCAGAGTCTCTCTGAAGTCCTAACTAGTACCCATATGTACAATTTTGTCTGTTGGGGGGATATAAAAACAACTTTTAAAAATTTATAAACTCCAATGAATATTTACAATGGTAAACAAAATTTATTTAGGCAGGTAAAGTTAAATTACAGCCGTTTAAATAGTATCTAATGGCGCAATCCAACATGTGCAGAAGGGGGGGGACAAGTCTATGCTCCTGCTGCTGCCACTGCTGATAGGAGCAATCCAGTAAGTTGGGGAGGAGGAGATAACTAGTTATACCAGTTACAATAAGCAATAGTTAACCATTTGCTTATAAGGAAACAGTTAATTACACCATGATGATAATAAAATTAAAAGAGGTGCAAAAATTCTGCGAAATACAAATTAATCAGGAATAACTGTTGTATCTCTAAAGAGGTTACAATGAAAGGTGGTACTCGAGTGAAGGAACAGCAACACTCACGTAGATAAAAGAAAAGAGGTTTATTGTAAAAGAGAATACACTACTGAAAGACAGGGAATTGGGTGGCAGGCTAGTAATTCCTGAAGCAAAGCCCCCAGCTATATCCTGTGCTCACTATATATAGCTACTGATATAGTCAGTCCACATAGGCGATATGGAGTGTGGGACATTCCATTACAACAACAACATTGATGCCAATGCTGGAGTATTGGGGAGATTGATGTCACTTGATTTCCAGTGAATGATATGAAAACTCAATTAGTGTTTTTAAAATTTCAGTTAAGCTATAAACAGTGTTGCCACCTAGTGTTGGCCTCAGTGTCCGTTCATGTACTCGGTGCGATGGGTAAATTGTCGCCATTTTATATTTTCAATTTTGTGCATTCACATTGTTTTTTTTCATTTTATTTTGACTGCACAGTATAGTAGGGTCAGTTGGGCACCGTTTGTGAGAAAAAGAGTACCATGACACAATTCCATGAAGTGTAATGTGATATTTATTGGTCACACAGTCTGATCTCCTCTACTCACTGAGTTATTACACTGTTATGGTAATAGGAAGGATTACTTAACCTCTGTAAGCCAACACATCATGTTTAGCAGAGTAATAGAATATTACTAAGTAGCAGAGATCAGGTTGCTTATATATTGCTTTTTTATTTCTTATTTTGTGTTAGCTTACTTTGAATGTTTTACACTTTTAATGATTTAAAAAACAATCAAAAATGCATTAATCAAATATAAACAAAATTGACAAACAAAATAGATACCCATTTTCCATTTTTAAATTTTAGAAAATTTTAATTAATTGGTAAATATAAAAAAAATTAATTTTCAATTACTATGGTTAAACTGGAGAATGTTTTACTGTACTAATCAAGTATTATACATTCACTAATAGAATTTGGGTATACAAAATTTCAGCACATTAATTGAGAAATTCCTGTACTTCTATTTAAAAAGAAGAAACCTTTTTTATTAGTCACAGACAAGAGGTTGAATTTAGGGATTTTGTGCTGCATTGTAGAAAATACAGAAAAAGAACTGCTTGTTTCCTGCCTTTTCATTTTTTCTACTGTTTTGATTTTTTTTTCTAAAGCCTTTTGTTTTTCTACAATGATTTCTTTTTTTTTATCTTCTATAGCTTTTTGCTTTTTCTACAATCTAGCATTTTTTCCCCTTTTTCTACAATCTCTCAATGTTTTTCTCTTTTTCTACAATCTGTCAATGGTTTTTGCTTTTTTCTACAATCTGTCAATGGTTTTTGCTTTTTTCTACAATCTTTGGTTTTTCTTTTTCTACAATCTTTTATTTTCTTTTCCTTACTTACTTACTTTTCTAAAATATTTTCTTTTTTGTTACAGTGTGATTGCTTTTTTTTTTTTTTTTTTTTCAGCATCCTTTTGAAGTTTTTTCTCATTTTCCTTTTAATTGCAAAATTGAATATGCTAGAAACAAAATCCAATAAAAAGGTTGATAATGACTTTGGCAATTACTTCACTTTTGTGGATGTTGCAAAAAAAGTACTTGTATAAAAGTTTTTTTTGTCTAAACTTAACTGAAATGCACATTATTACCAGTTTTACTCCAATCATATTTTTCTTGCTTGTTTACACCTAATAGTAATAAGATATAGTAGTTTTGAAGTTTTTGAATTTCTTCAAAGCATTGTTGTTAATTTTTGGCATGTTGACTAAATTAGAACCATGCTTGTTAATTAACTTTCATGTCCTCATTAATCTGAGAAATTTCCAAAGATAATGGATGTGCAAATTTATTTTTATTTTCTAATCCATGCTGCTGGGTAAACGTGTTCCAAACTGTAAACACAACCACCTGAGCTTTATGGAATGAACGGCAATCAATCTCATGATTTTTAGGTTTGCTGAACACCTGACCTGTTCTCTCGAAATGTCTCAATTGCATGCCAATATCTCGGTCTTTGTGAATGATCTTCTAGCACATTCACTTACATTGTCAATCCATTCTTTCTTTTGTCTGCCCCTTGTAGAAAGCCAGTGGAATGATTGTTGGATCTTGTCATGTGTCGAGACCATTTCAACTTTCTCTTCTTCATGAAGGTTACAAGGTCTTCCAATTGGTCTGTTCCTCTTCTTATGGTATTTTTCGCTGCATCATTTATTAGGCAGTCTATGTAGGAGACACCTCGGATGCTGAGGCAGCATCTCATTTTCTAATGTTTTTGGTTCTTTGCTGTAATTCTGCTATTAATGTCTAAGATTTGTAGCCAGAGAGAAAGCTTAAAAAATTTTTTTTAAATAAAAAGCAACATAGATAATATGAAAGAAGTACTTCTAAAAAATTATGAGAACAGTAAATCTCTCTCTGGGGAATGTGCTCCTTCACCATCACTTAAGTTATTATTGTGTGTATGGTCTGCATAAATATATAAGCCTAACCTATTCTGGAACAGTGCCAAATGTTGGTGGGATTGGAGAAGATTGTATTGCATAAATTTTCCAAATGAAAGCAGTTCAGGCAATACGGGAGTGGTTGCAATATGACTTTAAAACTAATGCTTAGAATCCTGACTTAGGTGGGAATGTAAAAAAAAATTTTCTGTTGATTCAAACTGTAACATTTTGGCTTGATGCATTGTAGACTTGTTTATGTTAAATATGGAGCACATACAATTTCCCATTACTTTACCCATTAAATATGGAACACATACAATTTCCCCATTACTTTACCCATTAAATATGGAACACATACAATTTCCCCATTACTTTACCCATTAAATATGGAACACATACAATTTCCCCATTACTTTACCCATTAAATATGGAACACATACAATTTCCCCATTACTTTACCCATTAAATATGGAACACATACAATTTCCCATTACTTTACCCATTAAATATGGAGCACCTACAATTACCCATTACATACAGACATTTAAAATAATACTTAAAGGAGCATTAAAGTTGATACTGGTCCAGTGGCTTGATAAAATTTTCATTAAATTCTGTACTTTCCTTAATACCTAAATGATACATAATTGTAAATTATGATTTTAATTATAAATATTCTCTATTCTCTTTGGTTATACATGTTTCATTTTGCTCACCATAACTCTATATCAAATCTTTATATTTACATTCAATTTTAATATTTACATCCTATATTTAATATATGATATATTTTAATATTTACTAATATAATATTTAATATTTAAAATTTAAAGTGTAATATTTAAAATTAATAATATTTAATATATGATATATTTTAATATTTACATTCTATATTAATATTTCTCCTATGTACAAATCTCAGTGTTTTTTTCAAAGATATTTATATTTAGAGTTTATTAATTGTTAAAGTTTTTCAAATTAACCACACTATTTTAAGTAGCAGGGTTGTCATAGTAACAATATTTTTTCTATTCTTTTAAATAATGCTCATTGGAAGTGAACCGTCAACAAGGAAATAAAAATAAACGGAAACATCTGACTGTTTTCACTTAATTCTGTCTTACATGTTTAGTGTCAATATCATTTATAACATAGATGTGTATATGTTTGTGTGTGTATATATATATATATATATATATATATATATATATATATGCAAACACACACATATGCCTGAAAACCATACCATGGGTTGACCTAAGTCTTCTGAGTGAAATTGGGGAGACGGAACTATTTTGGAGCCATCGATGGTTGTGCTAGCACAAAGTCACAAGTCATCATGACTGAGTGTTTGAGTGTGCTGACTTTGTTCAGGTTGTTGATCATGCCAGATGATATGCTCTCTCTCAAAAACTAACAAAAGTCCGCTCAGCACAGGTGGGCTCTGTGGGTGTTAAACAAACACAACTGTGCCTGAGGAGGCATCTGCAACAGGGATTGGTTAGCCACCCTAGTAGACAGGCATACTCAGATATGAGTGGCCAGCCACTATTTTATATATATATATATAAATATATATAGTTTATGAAAAACTAGGTAATCCGTATGGGTAAACCCTTTAAAAGGGCTGTGGTGAAATAATTTATTACATGGAACCTTAAAGTGGTCTGTTTTTCTGTTTTTATTTAAATATATATATATATATATATATATATATATATATATATATATATGTTATGTTGTCATAATGTGTCCTTGACACTACATTATTGGCTGCTAATTTTATAGACAGAAAACCTGTTTATTTAAACTGCTATCACAGGTAGGATTTATTAAAC